AGCTTGTTTGAATATAATGATTTAATTACAGATATGACATGATGGCAGTGCATGTTTTCTGATTGCTGATAATTACAAGCATTATATCACTGCAGTATAGGAAACAAATATAAATATTCCTTTTAAATATAAAAGGTGGATCTTCGGCTGGGGTGAATATGAATGTGCTTTTCAAATGTTGTTTAGATTCTACTTTTAGTTCCAAATGATGTGTTGTGGTCGATTGGTCAGTTCGTAACGCCGATGTTCATAACTCTGTCTTATATTCTGGGTGGCATGTTAGCATTAATTTTTTATGCGGTTTTACAGCCATTTTGTGGGGTGATATTTCATTGGCTTCTATATTTGGTTAATTATTTTTGCCTTCGTGGCAGGCCAGTAGCTAAATAAATGAGGGGGAACGAGTATGAATCAAAGACATGGGCAGAAGTTGGGAAGTGAACATGAATCAGGACTATGAATGTTACTGTGCTATCTTTTTCTGAAATCATTTACCTATTATCTTGAATGTATGTTATTCTCCCTTCTAACTCCTCTTGTATTGTAGATCTACAGCTGCTCCTAGAAACCAAAGTGGAAAAAGTGGAGTTACTCAGCTTGTAGATGGTATACCAGATTCCAATCTAAATTAAATCTGTGTAAATCTGGAGTAACCTCATTTATGTCAGTCAAATTGAAAGATGAAATTATGAGCAGAATTTGACTTTTATCCCTATTTCTATTCCTAACTGTAGAGCTTACCAAACATTATATTTTCCCCTTTTGTATTATTTTCCCCTCCTCGTATCTATCAGTCTTTATCCTTTATTAGTTGTAAGTGTTATAATTCCTGGATGATAGAATTAGTTCAATTTTTGCTAACCAGAGAGGCACGCTGCCTTAGCAATACTGAGAAAGCTAGGATTGCAAAGGGAAAAAGACTTTCTTAAATGTGAGTAACTTGCTTTTTTTAGCTAACACAGTAAATAGCATGTAAGTTTAATCAATAATGTTGTTACTACAAATATCTGTCTAAATCTTTTAGCACTTGTTACTGTGCTTTCTGCACCCTCAAATATTCAAGTCACTTACCTCAATATTCAGGTGATAACATAGTTTTTAAATCATTTAGGCCTTAAGGTTTTCTTTAGAGACTGAGTCTATTATTTGACAAAACAATAAGATTACAGTTTGCTTCTTGTTTTGCAAGATCCAATCTGCTTGTGTGGTAATTGTTTTGGCTTGTTCCTTTGATATGTGTAAGCGGGGGAATGGTCCCGCTATTGTGGGGAACTTTCCTGGCTTCTATACCACCCCGGTGAAATGAACCAGCGAAAGGATCTGAGTCCCCGCTCCCACTTCCTTTACCCCACGGCTCCCCTGTTCCTGAGGGCTCCCCCTCCACTCTCCTGAGTAGCAGAGCCCTTGAAACCCCAACAAGGCTGGGCCCAGGTTTCCTGGGGCTTAATCCCCGACCTTGTAGTCACTAGGGGCAGGAGTTAGGGTGTCCCCACTCCGAGGTGCTCTCTTTACACTGCAGGCCTTCTTGGCTCAGTGATCACTTCATAAGGTTCAAAGCAAATACAATTTATTAAACATCAACTGATTAAAGAGAAAAGAATAAGAAAAAAATGAGAATGGTTAAATGAGAACACACAGCCCTGCTCTGTAGCACAGGGACATCAAAACAACAGCTTGCAGAGTATAAGGACAGTCCACAGTCTCTTCCGTAGAGGCCCCTTAGAGGCCTTGGATGTGCTGCGGGGGGGGGGGGGGGGGGGGCTGCAGGCTGGACACGCTTGCTCTGGCAGTGACCACACAGCCTCAAGCTCTAAGTGGCCAGACCCCTCTCCCAGTCCAGAGCCTCTCCCCACACTTTGCAGGTCCCAGCTGCTCACCACATCCAGCTGCAGGGTGCTGCTTGGCCAGTCTCTAGCTTCTTGCGTTGCTTCTCTGTTCCTTTTGGCTCTCTGAGCACTGCCAGTCTGCTGCTCAACACAGGGTCTGCGCTCCTTGAGCTGTGTGTGTCTGGCTCAGCTGCTGCAAAAACTGCCCCTCAGCACACAGCTTGCACTGCTTGGGCTGTCCCTCAGCTCCCTGTTTTTGCAGGACTTCTTCTGCACACTGCTTGCACTCTTTGGGCTGTCTCCCAGCTCTCTGTTTGCTCAGAGAGAGCCAGAACAATCCCAGCTCACAGGGAAGACAGGGCCTGGCATCTCCCCTTCCTCACTGGCCTGTCCAACCTGTCAATCAGGCTGAGCTGGAGTGTTGGATGCTTTCCATTGACTCTGGGGTCTGTCAGTCTAATGAACCCTTCCCCTTCTGAAACTGGGAGCTGGCAAACCAAAAAACTCCCACAGAGTTTTAGTAAGGGGTAACAGTCCCCTTACATGGGTAAGTCTCCTGGGCTGTTCCACCATCCAGGCAGTGCAGACCCCCTTGTCCCAGCTAGCCCCAGGGGAGCCGGTGATTGGGCAGAGCACGTTCCACCTACCTGTCCTGCCCTGAGAAGCTGGCAGCTGGGCCACACCACACCACCAGCCCCCACTGATATCTGGCCAGAACATGGAGCCATCACCTGGGCAGCACAGCCCCTGCCACTCCAGCGAGTCCTGGGGACCCAGCCGCTGGGCACTGTGCCCCCCACGGGTCCTGGCCAACCCCAAGGATTGGCCAGCCTTGGTGATTAACTATCCAGACACCATGCTCCCACCACACTGGCCAGTTCTGGGGAGCCTGAGGCTGAGCCATGAGGCTCTTATTGTGCCAGACATCCCTGGGGAGCTGGAGGCCACTTAGACCAGTGCCAGGGATCAGCTAACCTCTTGCACCCTCTACTCCCGCCTAGATCCTGTCCTGATTACTGCATCCTCAATCTCCTGCCCTAAGCCCCTCTTCATCCCCCCACTCCCGCAAGCCCCTGCCCCGTGCCCCTCCTTAATGACCTGAATAACACCAGGTAAATGTGCTCATTGCTTTATATAATTCTTTTATGCTTTTCATCACACAGTAAAATGTTTAATCAAAAATAATAAATTCTGAACTGGAAATGGAGAAGTCTGTCCAAAGCAATAAACCTGCATGTTGTGAGGCAAATGCCAGAGAAAGAGGATGAAAGCACTTGCCTCTCTTTGCAATCTTTCTGAGTATAAAATTGAAGCCAAATGTAATGTCTGGTCGTAGATTGGTAAACAAGATTATTTGGCTCTGTTGAGTACATTCTCAGACTGTTTCATTGTCTTATTGTATTACACACAAACCCTATAAACAAATAGCAGAAGAATTCATGCCTACTGTATCCTCTAGCATCACTTAAAACTGTGAATTTATATTTGTTGTTTATTTACATACTTTGATTTTTTTGTATATCAGTTTAAATCTTTTAATTTACAATGCAACCTGTTTAGCTTTGGATGCTGTTGAATATTTAACAGGGTCTCAGAAGATTCTATATTTTTAGACAAACTAGAAGCACAATATATTGGTGAAGCCTGTATAATGTTGTCTTTTTCCAACAGTTATTTTCATGACATTGTTAAGACTAGGCACTGCAGTTAACCGAGTCAATGTTCTCATTTAGCCTTTGTAGCCTGTGATTAAATGGGAGTTGCTGCTTGTTGTTATATGAGTTGGCTGACAAAAGCTAAATCTGTCACAGGTGCAACAATTTGTACATCAGGAAATTTGCTTTCCAAACACTAATTATTCCCCAAGTATCCTACTTCACACAAAGCATAGATAACACAGTCAGCAAAATTTCCTCAGTTTTATCATTGTGCTGTAAATTAGGGTTTGTCTCCAACCATTGTATAAAGTGTATATGATGGAAATTCTAATGCTGGGAGCCCTTTGATGTTATAAACTTTTTCTTGCTTTAGTCTCACAATCCAAGTGCATAAAAATAAAGCTGTTCCAATAATCACTGCTAAATTTCAAATCTTATGATTGTCTGTGTATTCTGTAAGTAGATATTGAGGCATGAAGCAGGGTATAGTAGTTTGGAGGCTTAACAGATAGAAGTGTGGGGGGGAGGAGAAACATTTATTGCTGGTAGAACCAGACCTAACCTAAAGATATATTTAGTAGTTAATATGGGAAATTACCTAAAAAGGTATACCTCTGACCTCAAGTACATATCATTTTTATGTTTGGCAGTCTCTCTTTCACAGAGGCTTGGGACTAAAAAGCTGTTATGGGCTAGTCCTCACTCCTTTGGGAGAGTGACTCTTCCAACTTTTTTGCCATTTTTACTGCTGAAGGGGAAATGTGGAAATCATTCAATGCAATTGGTTAAAAAAATAGAAAACTTCCATTTTCAGCCCTAGAAGGTATTCTGAGATCACATGCTCATAAGTACAAACACAGTAGGTACCCTTTTATGCTATATGCATATTTTCTGATGGAACCCATGGTGAAAAAGCTTTTTAGCATAGCATGCTACAGCCTGAGTTGACAATATTATTTATATCTGCATTTAATCATAAGGGAAAATACCTGTCCACAAGACTCCACTGGGTTTAAGGAAATGGATCTGATGGGCTATTTCTTGGTTAAAAATTTTATAACAGAGCTAGCTCTCAGCGGAGTGTATGGGCCCTTGACATTAGTCACAGAATGATGTGCTAAAATAAATAGTAGAGCTTTGTTTTAGAAACATTCCTCTTTCATTGCCGTGGATTGCCGGGAAACAAATGCTGAAACTTTACAGATGTTTAAAAAGGAATGTTTAATTTTGATGAATTAATTGGAAAAGATAAATCCCTGAATGCTGTGTGTGAATTTACTAGGGAATTTGTTGGTTTGTTTTTCCATTGGGATTTATTTAATCTTCTATATTTAATATATTGTAAGCTGTCTCAAGAAAATGTTTGACTCCCAGAGGATGAACATTTAAATGTTACTAGATTTCCACCGAACGAAAACATTTATGTAATTTACATTTAACTAGCAGTGATTCACAGCTGTAATTATTTGTCCTCTGTACAGTAACTTCTGATTTGTATTTTTGTTTTATTTTATAGGACTATTTGACAATTCACAAGTATGGCAATGCAGCCAGAAATGATCTCTGGAATACACTATCAGAGGTAAAGCGTTATAGAACATTATACACGGAGAGAAAAGCAGGAAGCTATTGTGGTGGTGTGATGGTGCTGGGAGAGAACAGTACACACTACAATGCTAAAGCTCAAGATCACATTTAAAAATTAACACTAAGTAGCAGCATTTGGTTTTACAGAAAGATACAACATGCTTTCAGTTGTTTGTGTTATATCATTGATATCAAATAAAGGGAAGGCCTGCTCTCATTGACTACAGGGGAACAGGATAAGGTCTGTACCTAGGAAAGAGCAGGAAAGTGCTGTGCTTTGGCATTTATACTGAATAGATTTTGATATATACCTATTCATAATTTGTCTGAAGGACAGACGTTGTAAAGGCTTAAAGCTGGGCATTGTGATTTCCCTTATAACTGTTATTATTTGATGTCCTTAGACCTGTTGCAGGTGGTTACAAAGATATTGAAAGCCACCCTTGCTTCTGTATAGTTTCTTGCTTTTTTCCTTTCATTATGTTAAAGCCTTTGGGATAAATTCTCAGTGGTTTGCACTCAAATGTGTACACTAGTCAAAGAAGAGCAGAAGTCACAGCAAACATACAGGCAGAAGATTATGACTGCATTCTGGGCCATAAGCAATTGTGTCACACTGGATATGTCAAATCTGTTTGTGGTGAGAATTAAAATTCCATGTTCCCCTTCCTATCAGCATATCTGTTGTGAACCACTGTATTCCTGAGATGCCTCACAAACAAGTTCCAAGGGTTTCTGTCTGTGATTTTCTTGAATTTACTAGAAGTCACTCTGTCCCTGTTTCAGCATTAGCATTCTTTGGTTGCAGAGCAAGCCATCTCTGTCCATCCCTCACTTGTTTGTGGCCTGTCTTCCCATGATGTGCAAGTCTCCTCTTCATTAGGTTGACTGTATTCCACCAAAATTCCACCCAATTTAATTCCACTTGTTTTAAACTGCATTTTTCTAGCATTTCTATATTAAACAGGAATAAAGTATGCCCTTATTTGCCGCAAGATTTTTACCGCTTTCAGGTTTGGAGAAGGTCTGCATGTGCACAGCTTAGTTTTGGGTATAAGAATCAAGATTTTGCAGTGAGTGATGACTTTGGATGCCTAGTGTGAAAAACCTTAAAGGGGCATGATTTTCAGAGAACAGGTGGCTCAACATTTTCTGAAATCAGACCTTTTAAAAGTATCTCAAAATGGACACCCAAAATGAATATTCCCAGGAGGAAAATCTTTATCACTGTATCTAGCTCCTTTTTTAGCCTTTTCTGATTTTGAAAATAATTTGCAAATGGCCATCCACAGTCTTTGTGAAAGTTGGAATTGTGGGAAAGCAGGTCTCGAATTCAACTCCTTTTAGTGACAGGTTGGAAATTGAAAAGTGGCTAGATGATTTAGGGATACAAGTCCCTTTGAAAGTCATTGGAATACATTCTCCTAAGTGCTTGTCACTTTATTTGCATTTTCTAGCTTACTGCAGAAATAGATACCCCTTTCTGTTCTTAAAGCTGGTTTACATGAACATGTAAGCTCAGATGTCTAACTATCTAGAAAGAAGGCCCCTTGAATGATTTATTTTACTTTTGAATATAAATAAAGGATATACATAGTAAAAAAGTGCCTGTATATATAGATACATAATTGCAATTTAAATAGCTAGACAAATTAATGGACCTCTGTTCTAAAAAAGCAAGTGGTCCAATATGTTAGATATTAGTATTACTTCAGTATATTAAACCAAAACTGTTTTTTTTTTGAAGGCTCTAAAAAAGGTTGGAAAATTTGTAAATATCCAAGAAGTAATGGATCAATGGACGCTACAGATGGGTTACCCTGTTATCACCATCATGGGAAATGAAACTGCAGACAATATCGTAGTAATCTCCCAAGAGCACTTTATTTATGACATTGATGGTAAAACCAAGGATCCTGACCTTAGGAACAACAGGTACATAAATTTCTCAATAAATATTCATACTAAAAGTTGTAGTTGCTTAGCTACTTCATACCAATATTTTAAAGCAGAAGTCGGCACAGAAATCACTTAGCTTTGCCTAGAATGAATGGCATAATATGGCCCTAACATTTTAATTGTATTAAAGATGATTCTTGTAAAAAAGATTAGAATTATATTAGCATAATAAACAACAAAGAAAAGCTTTTATGAGCACATTTGCATCTTTAGAGCTCTCTCTGGCTTTTTTCAATCAAGGGATACACATCTATTCTTTGGCCTTTTCTTTTGGTTTTGTGCCACTCAGCGAAATGCATCAGCATGTGGCTAGAATTCTTCTGATGCTGCATCCTCGAGAGTAGCTTTCAAATGTCAGCAGGAGTATTCTCTTATTTTGACAGAGAATTTTAATCAGCAATCTCACAACAGCTTGTAGCTGCTTGTATTGATGCTCCCAATAGACTGGTCATGTGCAAGGGAAGGCTAGATAACTTAAGATTAACATATCATGTGGTAGCCCCTGAACAAGTATAAGCTTTTGGAAGTGCTTAAAATACAGATAGTGGCTATTTTTTTAAAAGTACAGAGTTCATTGTCAGCATACTAGACAAGTTGACTGTAAGGGCTTGTGTACATGAACCATTAATGTATGGCAGTGGAAGTGCATTACCCTGTCATATACTAATTGTCTGTGTGGACACTGCTGCTAATCAGTAAAAGTTCCCTAGTGTGCTTTGATTTACCGCACTATTAAATGAGAGTGGGTCAGTGTGTACACACTAGTAGGTCCACATGGACAGTGTATGGCAACTAATGTACTGTAGATTTATGCCCTAGCTTGCCAAGCACTAGTGAGTTGTCTAGACAAGCCCAAAGTGACTTTATGCCTCCCCAGATCTTGGATTCAGTCAAGAGCCATACTGAACCTCAGGGGCAAGTAAGAACAGCCACATAGCTGCTTACGATAGTTAGAACAGTTCCTTAGGAATTGATAGAGCACTTAGCTCTCTAGTCTCACACCTCGTGGTTTGCATCATACTATACTCTCTTCCCAGAATATCTCCTCCCTGTCCCAAGATAGTTGCAAGATACCCCGTGCACTGTGGTGCCAAATGAGGTTGAAGTTAAGATGATTAGATTGGTTTATGCCTGCCCAGGACTCCCTGACATTTGAAGTTAAGACGTCTTTAAGGTTGCTTTGCTGGGATCAGGACCTTTCCCATCAGGTTGAAAGCAAATCTGCTTGGGCTGATGTCTACAACATTGCTATTTAGTGTAAAGGCTGCTGTCTTTACCAACTCTGATTGAATGGCGCAAGGATCACCCTCTGAATTTTGACTTGTCACAGGGAAGACAATAGAAATAATTTAGAGGGAGCGGTAGATGCAGATGTTCACTTGATACGTTTGGGTTCCATGGAACAATATTCCTTTAGGGAAGTTGGATTTTTTGAAGTACTATACTGTAATTTTGTTCTCCATTGTTTCACATGCCATGGATGCTGTGAAACTCAAACCTAAATATGGGCATAGTTGTTTCACTGGCTTTAATATTAGCTGTCCCATGCATACGCTTAACACTTCGTTGACACTGGCCCTATATTTGTTAAAGGACAAAAAGGTGAAAAAATATACATCAGGGCTGTGTTTACACTGGCACCCTTTTCCGTAAAAGGGATGCTAATGAGACACTTCGGAATTGCAAATTCCGCGGGGGATTTAAATATCCCCCGCGGCATTTGCATGAACATGGCTGCCTCTTTTTTCCAGCTCGGGGTTTTGCTGGAGAAAAGCGCCAGTCTAGACAGGATCTTGCGGAAAATAAGCCCTTTTAAGTAGGAATAAGGGATCTTCCGGAAAAGGGCTTATTTTCTGCAAGATCCCATCTAGACTGGCGCTTTGCTCCGGCAAAACGCCAAGCCGGAAAAAAGCAGCAGCCATGTTCATGCAAATGCAACGGGGGATATTTAAATCCCCCGCGGAATTTGCAGTTCCGAAGTGTCTCAGTAGCATCCCTTTTACGGAAAAGGGTGCCAGTGTAGACACAGCCCATGTGTATATGGAAAGTGTCTGTGACTCATAGTGCAGCGGTACTCATCCAAAGAACAATTTATCTTTGTAGTACATTTATTTGCGTAATGATTTTGTCATGGAATGCTATGCATACAAGAGAGAGAGAGAGAGAGAGAGAGAGAGTGTGTATATCTATGTCTGTCTGTGTCTGTGTGTCTCCCCCCCTCTCCTCCCAAGATAACACAAGTGAATTTTATTATTCAGGAAAGCAGTAGGTACAAGCTGGACTTTCCTGGCCCTGCACCCTTGGGACCTGACTAGTCCCAAATGAGGAAGTTTGCCAGACCACTGATGGTCAACTCTGGCCCCTGGGCTCTTCTGGGGGATTGCCAGCCTCTTATTAGGCTCCCTTCATGGCCTCCGAACCTTGCTGCAGACCCAACTACTGAGCTCCTCTCTCCACTGAGTTTCGGTCTGGCAGCCCCCTAATCATGGGACCAACTTCACTCCTGGCTGGGCTCCTTCTCCATTCCTGGCCCCCTAAACAGGTTCTCCTTCCTAGCCACAGGACAGGCTCTGCTCCCAGCCTTTTGGCCAGACTTCGGGCTGCAGGTGCCCTGGACATGGGACTGTCTTTGTTCCCGGCGCCAATCCAGGCAGACTCCGGGCCAGTGGACTGGCTCCACTCCTGGCCCTTCAAGTGGGCTCCCAGCCCTCAGCTCTTCTGCCTCCAGACTCCCAGCTAGCCCGCACTCCTAGCCACTGGGGCTCTCCAGTCCAGCAACATCCATCATCCTGCTAGACCATGGATGTTGCTGGCTCATAGAATCCCTGACCAAAGAGATTCAACCTTTAACAATGTTTAGATAAGTTAAATGTGAAAGGGCCACATATATATTTCATTAACCTCTCCAACTCATTTTCTTCCAAACAATATTGAAGTCACGTAGGTTGGTTATAAATTAACAATGGTTATACATTAATGTCCAGAATTTTATATCATTGATCATTTCTAATGTGTTTCGGCAGATTGATTACTCTGATGTCCCTGAGTTTATGGCATGCAGGCTCTGTGACAGCAATTCCAGGCCCCAGGGCAGGGCAGTCATTTCCCCCCACACATGCACAAGCTGTATCCATGCAGCTGTGGTTCCTGATATTGGGGTGGTGCTGTGCTTGGGTTGGCTGGTGCCCAGTGAGTTGCTGGCTGTGCTGCTGGATGCACCTTCCTGGCACAACCAGGGCTTCCGCATGCCCACTTGGTGGGGTTTCCAACTGTCTAATCCCACATACCCAAAGCCTGCTCCAGCTCTGAGGACATGCCTCGTCCTGCTTTTTCTCCAAGGCCTCATCCCCCCGCTTGCTCTCCCCAACCCTCACTTTCACCAGGCTGAGCCAGGATATTAGGGTGTGGGTGGTGGTGTGGGGTACAGACTCTGAGAGGGAGTTTGGATACTAGGTGTGGGCTCTGATCTGCAGGAGGGGGTTATAGTGTGGGAGGGGGTGAGGGCTGCAGGCTCTGGGAGGAAGTTTAAATGTGGGGTGTGGGCTGAGGCAAGGTGTTGGGGTGCAGAAAAGGTCAGAGGGTCAGTGGTTGGCTCCCGGAAGCAATGGCTACACCCCTCTGGGCAGGGGTACATGGTGGCTCTGTGTACCATTGCCTGCAGGCATCGCCCCCACAACTCCCAGTTCCCAGCCAATGGGAACTGCTCAGGGTGGGGGACAGCTTGCAGAGACCCCCCTCACAGGGGCCATGGGTACGTATTGGCCACTTCTGGGAGCAGTGCAAAGCGAGGGCAGATAGGAAGCCAGGCGGTCTTAGGCCCTTTTAGATACCTTGGGCCCATGGGCAATTGCCCCTTTTGTGCTCCCCTGAGGCCACACGATACAAGAAATTACATTTTACAAACAATGTGTACAGGGGAAAACCGCAGTTTTCTGCTTGTTTCTTTAGGTCACTCAATGCAGAAAATGCCATGTGACAGATTCTTGACACACTTGTGCCTGTAGGCTCTGTTTGGCATTGTGGGAGATGTAGACATACATCACCTTAGCAGCAGGCCGTAGCACAGGTAGCATCAAAGATCTGATCTGAAACCTATTGAAGTTTATAGAAAGTCTGTCATTGACTTCAGAGGATTGTGGATCAGACTTCAGGGAATCAGTTGCTCTGCAATATTTGTAGAGAGTGCAGAATGTATTCCTGGGCCTAGCTAGGTTAGCAGCAGATAAGGAGGTAGGATGAGGGGGATAGCCATTCATTCCTGTCCACTTCGTGGTGGTTACTATTGATTACAGGGCTATCCCTGTACAAGAGCTAAAAATTGTATCAGAGCACAAGTTGGGGAGCTTGTCCTTCACACTATCCTCTGGACTGGGCATTCTTTGGCTTATATGTCTGTACAAATTTTCTTAATTCAAATAGACCTCATCCTTTCACTGTGGGAAATTCCATGTATTTTTTCCCCCACAGATTGCGTCTCTGTGGAAACAGATAATGTCATTTTCAGGAATAAATACAAATCTATTGGAAACTTTTTGCAAAGTCTGCCAAATCTTCCTCTAATCTTTTTTTATCCCAAACCTGTAGCACCCCCATTTTCAATTTGCCTTGAGACTCAGATCTTAAAGCCAGATCTTTCTATTGATTTTATGTTGAATTTCTATTGCTTGCATATGGAGTTCCATAAGCAAATCTGATAGGATTTGTCTGTAATATTTTAAGTTCACATGTTATTGTAAGATTTAAGTAGGGTGTTTAAAATATCTATTTATACATTTAACTGAACATTGAATGCAAGTTTTAAATATAACAAAAGTAATCAGAAACTCTCAACAATTACCTCCCCTCTCCCCCTGACCCTAAACAGAAGGCTGGATTCTCAAGTCTCAAAGGGTATGTCTACACAGCAAAGTTATTTCAAAATATCAGCCGTTATTTTGAAATAACTTTACCAGCATCTACACAGCCAAACCACTATT